GTAGCTGAAACAGTTAGTACGTTCAACGTACTTACGTTTCGACTGAACAATTGAACGGTCAACGGCAACGAGACCAATTATGGACTGATGTATTTACCATTCGGTAGCCACAGCGAGTTATCAACAATAATAACAAGTGAAAAAATGCTATAGGGGAATTGCAGCCAGGGAGAATGCTGGCATAAATAGAAATGAAGCAAAAACAGCGAAAGCACCGGAAAGAACTGAATTTTGTTGCTATACAACGATGTTACGAAACAGCGAATGCACCAATTCGTCATTGTACAGCCGTTCAAATATCGGCGTTCTCAGAAAAATGGAGGAATTTTAATAATTTCCAATTAATAACTTAATAGCTGTAACGGTCTCGCTCATACTTAAGTTCCTTTCGATTGATGCTATTGTCAGTGCATCATCCCTTATGGTTAGAAATACTGGACAGTCTTAGTACACCGTTTAGTCATTGACCCTACTCTTTCAGTTCTCATATTGGAAGAAAACTCGTAGGTAAATTCCGAAAAAATAAAAATCAAATAAACAATGTAATCATTTGAACAAACAAGTGGATTTTGATGCATTAAACTTGTTGAATCCTCAAGAATTCATACCTACGCGTAATGCACTAGCGTACGAACACCTGAGAGATTGTGACATTTTTGATTCAACACACTTCTTGCTAAATCGTTTCCTGATTGTGATGATCCGTTTTTTTTTGAGGGAGATAACCCTCAAAACCTCACTCTTGTATCTTTACCATTTCATCGGTCGGACTATTATTTACTATAAGATTTGCTCTGTTTCTAGGAATTTTTTCTCAAATTTTAAACATTCTTCAAAATTTAACAACACTGATTCTGATTCTGAGACGGAACTGTCGGTCAGTAAAGCCTTTTGGTTGCTTTAGCATTGGTTTTTGGTAGTAGAAAGTCATATGTTACCGTAAAAAGCCAATTTATTAACCGTGAAAGCTTAGAACTATTATATAAGCTGCATAAGGTCAGAATTTGCAAAGCCTCTCAGGTGCATACTGCATATTCAAGTAGCATATACAGTAGCGCTCAAAAGTATTCGGCCAACTTAAACTTGCCGTAACTTTTTTCTCAGTG